CACCCTTTCTCCCCCAACCACGTCCCAACTTCTCGCACTAACGTAACTTATTTTTGACTCCCAGCCCCAACTCTCTCTCTCTCTCACGATCTCTTTTCTACTCCGTGACCCCTCTCATCTCCCTCTTCTCTCCCGGTTCGACACCTACAGAGACGATCGGCGCCACCCATCTGGTATCTCCCTCTCTCTGTCCTCCTCTTCGACACCTCTCTCTCCCTCGCCTCCAACACATGCACACACACAGACCCATTTCCCTCTTTCTCTCTCTCTCACCTCTCTGCAACACTCATACACAACCCACAGCACATACACTCGCACTCATCCACAGCAATTGCTGTTTTAAGTTTTTTCAATTTTGGGATTCATTTTTTTTTGTATGTTGCCTGTTTGATTTGTTGCTTCAAAGGAAATACACAAGTGTGTTTGTATCCAAAATTTTGATATTACAGTGTGAATTGAGGTTCTGTATATGTTTTATTTGATAAGTATTGATGTGTCTTGGTGTGTGGTCTTGGTCATTGGAAAGCTTGGTTTTTTATGTGTTAACGACCGCAACAAAGCCAACGACATCCAGCACAGTTGACTCTCGTCAGCGATTGTCACGCAACAGGCATCTCTCCCTCCCTCACTGTCTACTCATCCCCTTGCCTCTCTATTTGCCAATTTCCTCCACCCCTGGTCACCATCCACATTATCTTGGTATGCGCATAAACTGTTTGTTGAAATGTCTCAGATAAAGAGTTTTCCTTGATCGAATTACTGATATAGGAAGGTAACTTCTTTTCATAGTTTATTTGGAAACTACCTACATATGTCAGATGTGCTTTCGTGATTGTATCTAGTGTTATGATAGCATCAATGGATCTTAGGGAAGTTTTTCACATTGCTGGTTGTTATATCTCTATTAAGTTATGTCCCTTGGTTTTGTTGGCTTGCAGTTGGAAATTCCAAATCCCTGCAATGAGCTCTTCCAATTTGATGCATTATGGAATTCAAAATCATGGCAATTTAGCTTCGATTACTGAATGTTGACCGTTGTGAATTGGCTTGACCTTAGCATTAGCCATGGTAATTTGTTTAATCTCTTGGAAACTTTGGATTTGTTTTTTCTTTGTGTAGGCACTAGTAATTTTGTCAATGGAATGTCAAGATAAACTCCTCAACTATAACACTTCTTTTGCTTGTGGGTGTAAAATGCCAGAAAAAATGCATGCAAAAACTACCTTATTTGTCATGGTTATTGGTGAAACAAATTGAGAAAAATATATATTGGAAAGGCCCCTGTTTTTGTTGGCCTCAAAGTCTATCTCCGAATGGAATTATGGAACTTTTAATTCCACATTAATGGTAGTGTTTTTACGCATTCTACTCGGAACTTAATTTCAATTTCTTGGCAGATAGTATTGTCGTGATGTTTTACATTGTTGCTGGTGCCTTTTTACCCTTTTTTCTTTTAAATGTTTTAGTGATTGATTTTCATGAACAATTCTATATAGGATTCTACTTTGTTGTTGCTGGTTCCTTTTTCTGAAGGATTCTACATCGTAGTTTCTTAAACGAATTTTTATAATATGATTGGTGGTAGTTCAAGAGATTACTGCAAAATTCTCTTGATTTGAATTGTTAGTCAAACTTTTTGGTTAGAGTTTCCTTATATTTTCTGTATGTGTCTCTCTCTATATATAGGTGTTTATGGATGTATTTCAGTTGTCATGTGTGATTTTTTTGATCAGTTGCAAATTTAAATGGTCAGTGTTTGAATTCATTTATTGAGATTTAAATGTTTGATTTGAAATTCTTCTTTTGAATTATGAAATCCTGCTTTGATTAGTTAGGATTTAAAAAAAAAACCTGATATGTGGCATATAGTTTCAGATCAAAGGGATTATTTAGGATTCTATGGTGTCTATCACTGTCTGCTTCAATTGGGATTTTGGGATTGGTGTCAGGGAAAACAATTAATCATTTCAATAGAACAATGAACATTAGAGCTGCTCACTGCTATAACCGTGACTGTTACTTGATGTCGCTGCCCAGTTTTTTTATTTATTTTTAATGATAAGCAACACTTATGTGTATCACGTCACTGCTTCGGTGATGGAATCATGTTGGTATACATGATGAAAACAAATATCTGAGGTCATGAAACAACAAGGAGAAGCTTGTGCACCACATCGGATCTGATTAAAGGTAATACAAACTTCATTTGTTGCTTTACTTTTATTTTTTCATGTATTACATCTCTGCTTCGGTGATGGAATCGTGTTGGTATACATGATGAAAACGAACAAGAGAACTATCTCATTTACTAAGGGCATTGGGAAAAAGAGTTTTTTAATTTCATAGCAGGTATTTGCTTGTGAGATTTTTGTTTTTTAATTCAATTCGCAGGGTTTGCAATGTCGTTGGTTTGGTATTCCACGATTAGTTACAAACGAACTAGTAATTAAATTTTTTGTTAATTACTCTACAAAGTTAATAATTCAATTTTTTGTTAATTACTGAACAGCCATGTTGATGACTTCACCGATGCATGATGACTGCCTTTGAGTTCAAGGTTTGATTTGTCTATTTGAATGCAATTTGCGTAATGATTTAAATGAGAATGGAGCATTTAAAAAACAATCTCAGAATTCTTGGTGCCCAAAGAAAGTTGCAAAGAGACCGAAGATGCTTCTGTCAAAGTGCTCAGTGAAGTATTTAATAACTATATTTTGGGACTGTAGCTATGTGGCTCCTTGAAAACAATGTGGAACATCCTTCGCTACTATGACAACTTAGTTGCTGCCAATCACATGTTATGGTCGTCTTAATTTTTTTGTTTCTTTATGATACAATTCTAGAATTCATAATGCCTCTCTCTACATGTACTATAATTGGTTATGCTTCTTTTGGAATTCATGTCATATGTTTTATTTTTTTGGGGTCAGACTTCTTTCATTTGTTGGATTGGATGGTTTTGAGGATATATTTTACTTTTAATTTAGTAATTTTCATATATGTAAATTGTGGATAAATAAATGATTTGTATTAAAAATGAGGATTTATTCGAGTGTGATAGGTTATAGATACTTAGATTATAGATACTTAGATATGCTAAATAGGTCGTGTTTGTCATGTTGATTGTTTTATATGGGTGGTCACAACCCAACCGTGACCCGTGTACTAAACAAGTTGATAGCGGATCGTGTCAACTTGAATACAAATTGTTTATTAAGTGTGTTACACATGTCATGCTCAGATTATTGGTGTTATAAGCAAATTGTATCAATCTTTGGTCATTTTGACATGATTAATTAGATAGTTCGTGTTAGGGTTGAGAGATTTTTGACCTGAATCGAAATAAAATAAGACGGTTTGATTGTTATCCATACTTTAGCTGCAGTCCCAAAATATAATTATTAAATAGGGAGAATTACATTCAGGTCCACTAAAGTTTGTCATTTAATCAATCTGGCCTCCTAATATTTAAAATATTACACACATACCTCTTAAAGTTTGTACGTGCATAACACTTAGACCCTTGCTGTAAATATATCCGTTAATAAATTATACCTAAACCTCATTGAAGTTTGTACGCATATAATACTTAAACTTCTTAAATTTAAAATATTATATTTAGATAAAAAATACTTCAATCAAAGATATAATATCAAATATTTTAAATTTTACAACTAAAATTCATGTTTTATTGTATTATTTATTGAAATAAAATTCAATTTTTTTAAAAAAAGTTGTAATTAGTATACAATTTTACTATCTATTGAAGTAAAACAAAAAAATCAAACAAAGGATCTAAGTCATTCTTAATAAAACATGATTTTTACAACTAAAATTTATGTTCTATTATGTCATTTATTTAAATAAAATTAAAATAAAATTTTAATTTTTTAAAAAAAAGCATAGTTAGTATACAATTATAATATCTATTAGAATAAAACTAAAAAATTAAACAAGGGGTTTAATTGTAATGAACATAATATCTTTTATCTTCAATTAAGATAATTTGGTATTTTAATTTGGTCGTTTAAACGACCAAATTAAATTCTAATAGACAATATAATTGTATATTAATTACGATTTTTTAAGAAAAAATTGATTTTTATTTTTTATTTTATTTCAATAAATGATACAATAAAATATGAATTTTAATTGTAAAAATTAAAATATTCAATATTTTATCTTTAATTAAAATATTTTTGGTCTAAATACAACATTTTAAACTTAAGGGGTTTAAGTAATAAATGGTTACAAACTTCAGAGAGTCTGACTGTAATTAATTTATAAATATATTTACAACAGGGGTCTAAGTGTTATGCGTGTACAAATTTTAAAGGGTTTGAGCGTAATACTTCAAATGTCAGGGGTCTAAGCGATTAAGTGATCAATCTTAGGGGATGTCAGTGTAATTCTCCCTATTAAATACAATGAATAAAAAACAATGAATTTTATTTGAATACACAATAAATCACCATGAAAAATATTAAAAAAATGGAAAAAAATTTAGTCACCATGAAAAATATTAAAAAAATGGGAATTTTATTTAAATTTTTATGTATGAATTTTAATACGTAAAAAAATTTATAAAGTAAAAGGGTCTCACTGAACATATGTCTATTAATTTAATAAAATTATATTTTTGTTAGGATGTTTAATCTGATAGGGGTCTCAGGGAAAATTCAAAAACTAAATTAGATATTCTTGAAGATTTGATAAATTAGAGCAGGTGTCATTGAAATTTTCCCTAAAGAAATCTGATACTTGCCCTGCCTTTAAGACTAATAAAGCTTATAAAGGCTAAACGGAAACTTGGACCTTGTGTGTGTGAGACACAGGGTAAAGAAACAGCCATTGCCGTCCTCACCTCTACTCATTTCTCTCCGTCGTTCCACAGCCACACCCACTCCACTCAACTGCAAATCACAAACCACTATCATCTCAATCACTTCCCAAAGTCAACATCTACGAAGTCATAGCCGTCCGATCACTGTTGCTTTCAGCTCTGCGCCAATGAAACCATAAAAATTGATGAGTCAACGTTCAGTGTTGGAGAAGCGACGTCTGAAGATGAGCTTTGGGCTGCTGCGTATCTACGTGTTCGAACTTTCTATGACTTCCGGGAAAGTTTCGGTATCAAAGTGAGTTGATTTTTACGGGTGCAGGTCCTCTGCTGTCTGCAGTCTAACGGCAAAATTTGTTATTAAGTGGGATGACGTATTGTTTGGTCAAAATTTGCTATCTAGCAAAGAAGATAGCTACGACGTCGTCGAACTAGTTGGCTTCGAACCCAAACGGCGTCGTTTGCTTTTTCTTTCTTATGTTAAAACAGATTCGATTTCCCCAAAATCAAACCCTTGAAGATCGCAGTTCAGGTTCCTTCTCCAGCTAAACGAAATCCCAGCATTCGTCTTCCTCAGTGGACAGAGACAATGACCCTATAGATTGAATGCTCAAAGATTACTCAGTGAAGTAAAGTTTGTGTTCATCGAGAAATTCAACATAGAATTATACTACACAATAGCATCGTTCCATCTAAGAGTTAAGTTTCCTGAGGCAAGAAGTCGAAATGAGTACGGCCCAGATCGCAATATGTGATTCACAATGAAGTTTTGACTTGGGAGAAGAGTATCAGTGGGGTTGTTAAATGTGGAACAAACAGAAACTGTACCGTTTTTGAGGGAGAAGTTACCGCGGCTGGCGTTATTGGACTGCCAGACGACGGAGTTGGCGGAGCCGTTGAAGAGCTGGAGGTTGCCGTTGGGTAGGAAGAGGAGGGTGCAGGGTACGGCTCAGGAACACATGAGGCCTAGATAAATATCAATGAGATTTTTGTATTTTTAATAATATTTTAAAATTTTAATTTAAATTTTAAAAATGACTAATTAAAATTTTTATCCAAATTAAGTTAACATATTTTTTTAATTTAAGTATGACTTATGATCATAAATAAATACTTTGATAAGATTATAATTTATTACTTTATTAATATTTTTATGTCACTGTTTGTTTTGTAAGTTCATTATCAAAATTGTGGTATTACATAATTGATTATTATTATAAATACATTCATAATTATCTTTTTGTTAAATTATTTTACTATCTTCTAATTTTTAGGATCTTTATTTGTTTATATTTGCAACTTTTACCCAAATATTTGTTATTGAAATCCAATTTGAGTGTAGAGAATGTGTTGTTAAGTTTGGTTTTGCTTTTGTACAAGAGAGAGATTGATACTTATAATATATATATATATATATATATATATATATATTAGTTATTGCCTGTATCTGAAGGTACAGAGTAATAAAAAATAGTAAACAATAAACATATTTGCATTCATATCCAAAATTAAATAAAAAATATAAAAGAGAAATAAATGAATTTAAGCATCAGTTGTGGTGAAGGTGAGAGGTGGTGGGCGACAGTGGTGGCTGTGGCAACGGTGACAGCGATGGCGGTGATGGCGGCGACGACGGTGTTAGTGGCGGTGGCAATGGCAATGGTGATGGNGGGGGGGGGGGGGGGGGAGAGAGGAGGAGGAGGAAGAGGAGGAGGAGATTTTGGTCTCTTGAGAAACTCTAACACCATGTGATTTGAGAGAGTGGTGAAGAGCCTTGAGAGTTACAGAAGAGGTGCGGAAATGAAGATGGTGGAGGTGTGTCGCACGCCAGTACTCCACTTTCTGTGTTTCATTGTTATTGCATTTTGCATAACCTTTGCAGATTACGAGTTTTCTAAATAATCTTGTATCAATTGTTATGCTTGTACTGATTTGTTTGAAACTATGTTAGATACCTTTCATGGTGAACTAGTAAATAAAAAATGATATGAACACAATCTAACTTGCATCATCTAATGTGACATGATCATAGCATTCGAAAATTTAATAAAATCAATGAGACCCATTAATCTAACGATCTACATTGAGATGGTGCATAAAAGTAACAAGTGTAAACTACATCATAGGACTAACAATATATATGTGTGTGTGTGTGTATATATATATATATATATATATATATTAACAGGAGGAAGTTAAAAAAAAATTCTCACACAAAAGCACACATACAATCTCTTACTCTCTCTTTCTCGCAATCTCAGTCTTGATAGAAGTGGAAGAAAAGCCAAAGTGACTCGATCAATCAGAGTTTCATCGAGCATCAACAACTATCAACAAGTACATACACTCTCTCTCTCTCTCTCTCTCTCTCTCTCTCTCTCTATGCTATATCTAATTTTTTGTTTATATTTTGTGTAAAATATTGAAATATACATTGAATCTTTGATTAATAATGCTATATTTTATACATTGAATGGAGTTTTGATTTTTATACATTGATTGACTTTGTACTTTGAATAGTGCAAATTATATAGATTATGCTTGGATTGATGCATGGTAAGAGAATTGGAGTTAGAATTAGAGCCTTGAACTTAAAGATATGTATTTTTCTCCGCTTAACTTTACAAGTTGGTTGGAATTAAATGTATTCGATACATATTTGATGATTTTTTTTAAGTTTAAATGTTTGATGTTATTTTCATAATTATTGTGATTTTTTAGTCTATTTATTAGTATTTATAATTATTTTTATTTTTTTATTATATTTAGCGGTCCGACTAGTGATCCAATGGATGAACCAGTGACTCATTAACTCGATCTTTTTGTCAGGTTGATGGCCGAGCTGAGCTGAGTTTTAAAACTATGCGACAAAGACACGGGTCAATTTGACCAATTAACATACCAGTGGTATTTTTAATTCTTTTGTAAAACCTTAGTTAAATCATAGATTTGATTCATAACCCACAGTTGCTCTGTTATCACTTTTTGGGTATATCAAAACATGATCTAGAGTATTTTTTTGTAATTAAATCACAATAACTATCATATAATCAAGCAAGGTAATCGACAAATATGCTAATCACAAAGTCAACGATCAAAATTTAAAATTGATGGCAACCCCTTCTTTATGACTTGATTCCATTCTACTTTTTTAATATAAGAGAGAATATGGTGTTGTACCCTAATTTTTGGATACACAGTTAAAGTGATGGAAACTAATATATGAAAAGTGGATTGAGAGGGAGACGGTTAGCACATATCATAGAACCTTATTCTCTTTGTTATCTTCCAATCAAAGATACTTAGAAGAGTGGTAGATTTCCACTCCCTTGCGCTTAGGAAACCACAATCCTTGCAGGTTAGATTGCTTAACAAATTTAGTTACACAGTCCTAGTTGAGTGACTAACACATGCTTGAAACCATCACATGTGTAGGACCAATAAAAATGTTTTGTAAAAACATAAATTGAAATATAAAGTTCCAACACACGACTATCTTCATAAAACAACCATGCGCCTCCTAGCTTAAATTGGTAAACTCTGATTATTCATCATTTTTACCTACAAACTATATTAATGTTTAGAATTTCTGGAAATAATGGTTTTTGATAAAGAATTTTGATATCTATTTGATTAAACTATTAAATAATGAATGAGAAATTATTAAAATATTTTTGTGACTTTTGGAAGAAATTAGAAAAGTGTGACGTAAAGATTGACATGAAAGGTTATTAATTCAAAATTGATAACTTTTGGTTAAAGACATCAATACAAATAGTTACATTCTTTCATAAAGTCACCATTAACACCTTTTGATTAAAAGATACCATTACAAATAGTCACAATTTTTCATAAAGTCAAAATTGATATCTTTTGGACTAAAAAACACCATTTCAAATGGTTGTACTTTTTCATAAAATCACAATCGATACTATTTGAATTAAAAGGTACCATTACATATGGTTGTACCCTTTATGAAAAGTCACTAGTGAATCTATAAATAGGTGATGCATTGCACTACCAAATCACACAATCGAACAATTCTAGCATTGCTCTCTCATTCTACTTCTCTCTATTATCCAAAATTCTGAATTTAGTATTTAGTCTTTCCTCTCTCTCTCTCTCTCTCTCTCTCTCTCTCTCTCTCTCTCTCTCTCTCTCCATATTGATGCATTATTATTTTAAGTATAAACATAGAATTGTGCTTGTTGGAGTCTTGGAGATTAAAATGTTGCATCTTTAATAACGACACTCATTCTATCTTGGGAGACAATTGGTTATCAACCTTAGAAGAAAATCTATCTAAAGACAATTGTGATTATACAGGATTCGGATTATAATTATTATTATTTCTAGATTTCTATTACTTGTAAGACATAGACATATATTGCATTAAGTTTAATTTTGAGTAATGGTGGAAGTAAATTATTTCTAAAAAAAATTGAGGTGGTAAGTGTGATTAACCAAAATTTTTGGTGAGTGATGTATGAGATATGTCGGAATTAAGGTTAGTTAGTCATTATACATGATGTTATATTTAAGCTACTAGAGTGGAATTGAATTGAAGTTAGAAGGTTGGGATTAAAATGCAATTATTGGAAAAAAAACATTATGGGATAAATTAAGAGAGTCAAATTCTTCAAAGGATGAAAGTGTAATTAGTGGATAAGGTTGTAATTATTGGATGCAGAAGGCTGTGGTCAAATTAAAAAGAAAGGAACAAACAAAAATAAATAAATAAGAAGGAAGAAGAAACATAGAGGAAGACCGGAGAAGGAAGGAAGAAAGCAAAAAAGGGAACCGTGGCTTTGAGTGAAAATCCGACGGTGAGATTAACTCTAATTCTTATCAAATTTGAGTATGGTATTTACTATAGTTTGAATTTCATATATACCGGTCAGATTCTTCAAGAGATGTTGGATTTTGTTTAATTTTCTACTTTTCTTCTAGTTGATATTTTTTGGGTAGAGAAAATTCTATAGATCGATATGGAAGCCAGATTTTGGTGAGAAAGGTAATATTTCTTCACATATGTACTATAAATTTGGAGTTTCTAAAATCAAGAAGCTATTATCATGTTGCTGAAAATTAAGTTGATGAAATTGTCTATGTTGGAAATTTTGTTAAAAAGTTGGTAGTTAATTCCAGTTTTGACAGACAATTTGGGTAGTCAGTGAGAAAACGATGATAACTCTCTAAAACATTCGAATTTTTGCACCGTTTTTTTTTTATTAAAACACAGACTCATAGATCTTTTTAATCATATATGACACATAACGTAATTTTATTTGTGTGAAAACTAACATCTATTTAAGATTGACTGAAATACTGCGACTGATGAAAAAAAGTGAATATAACTTTTCACATAGAACCTCAATTTTAGCTCATGACCAATGGTTTGAATTTGGGTTCTTGTTATTTTATCAAAGATAAAAGCTTATTTTAATTAAATTCGAGCAATGGGTCCTCATGTTATTTTAATGCATGTAAAGTGTTTGAAGAAATGTTTGAGTGAAGCGAATCTGCGAAAATGAGGCTTAAGTGACCCGACCTTATTTGAGTTGAATGTGGTAGGAAATAAATTGGATTGGGTTAGATCAAAGAAACAAATATTGAAAAATTTGAATGTGAGGGATATGAGACAACTTTGACACCCTTTGGTAAAATAAGCATAATTTTTTATAGAAAACTCGAATTGACGCACCGTCAATTTTGTTGAAAACTAGATTAAGAGACCTTTCCAATAGTGTATAGTAGAATATCATATTGTTTATGTATAAATTCAGTTTTTAGTTCAAAAATAGCTAAAAACAGTCCACTTATCAAATTTAAAAATTTGTTGGAAAATAATCGAAACATGGCCTATGGAAGGTTGTTTTGAGCTTAAGACCTATTGTTGAAAATCTTAAGAAACTTACTTTCTAA